TTCCATCTGTTCCTGAACCCGGCTCTCACAGGGCTTCATGTCATGCCTGAAAACCAACAACCAACAATGAGTGTAATGTGTCTACAGTAAGGATGGGAACAGAGAGTGAGCGGGCGTTGCTAGGCAACAGAGTGGAACAGAGCGTACGTTCTGCTTTCTCTTCTCACTCACGCACACTTAGTGGCTCTTTCTTTCTGTCCTCTCCTCTGTCCTGTGCCCTCCGTCCCAGTGTTAAAACAGAGAACGGCTATCAACAGAATACACTGAACGCCTGCTGCAGATGTAGCCTCAGTAAAAACCACCACACTGATTTAATTTGAGTCCACAAATTAGGGATTTAAAGGAGGTGAAGAGAGCAAAGGGACAGTTGTATCTGGGTGAGGTCTGTCCAGGAACATGACAGTGTGGATTTGATTTAATGTGATGCTAGAGGAAAGTTACAAGTAATAATACCAAAGAAACACTATTGACTGAAATACAGAAATGTATGATGGAGTGACATATAGATCATTGCTTCTGTTAGAAAAACAGAAAGTCATTCTCTTGTCTGTTAGAAAGTAATATACAGAGGAGACAGGGATGCTGGACCATGATCTGCTCTGCTTAGGATATGCATTCAGAGGAAGAAATGCTCATCTATGATGTAATGATTTACACATCACTGCTCAACAGATTTATTTAAATGAAAGCTGTGTGTGTGTGTGTGTGTGTGTGTGTGTGTGTGTGTGTGTGTGTGTGTGTGTGTGTTTGTTTTTTTTGCATGTGTGACGTTTTTTGGTCAGTTGAACAGGGCGTGCACATGTCTGCGTATGAGCGAGATGGAAAGCTAAAAAAGAAGGAGGGTGGGGGGTTTAAAGCACAACTGGAGGGAAGAGCAGAGTGCGCGAGAGGAAGCGTTAACAGATTCAGGGGTGGGACGGAGGGAGTGCATGTGTGTTTGTGTGACTGTGTGTGTGAGAGTGAGAGAGCGAGAAAGAGAGAGAGAGAGTGCGCCAAGCCACTGTGGCTGTTTTTGCTTTCACTGATAGGGTGAGACATCCAGCCTGTTACAGCGGCGTACAGACTAGGCAAGCTATTAAAGCTGCAGATTGGAAACGCTCGTTGCAACTGCACACACAGGCACTCATACACCGGCGTACAGGTGCGCACACGGGGACGCGTCACCTCCGCCTTCACTGCCAGCGTGTGATGTGACGGGAAGGGAAGAGAGTCATTTTGGGACAAAGGGGGTACTGCCTTTAAGGTAGGGACGTTGTCATTATCTGTATGAGAAAGAAACATGTCTGTACAGTCTCAGTCCCTTTTAGATGATTTGATACTGTTGATTTTCTGAATTTCAAAACAGTGCTGTTCTGCTAGCTGCTGTGATTCTCAGAGATTTATTACATTCTGGGAACCATAAGATAAAAAATATTCCCCTAATGAACAGCAATTGAGTGTTTGGCAATGCTAGTGAATAATTTCTCTCCTAAGTAGTTGACTCTAGATTTATAACAGTCTGTTTAAATCCAAAGTGAAACACATTCACAAAAACACTTATGCTTGATCGGTTTGAAAAGACTGATTTGCTTTTTTTTGGGGGGGGAATCTGTTTAAGGGTTGGTCAGTAGTTGTACATCCACAGATGACTGCATCAGGCTGCACCGATGCAATTATTTCTTTCACACGCCAGATGGCGATATGACAATCTATTTAAATCAACCACCAGTCAAAAGAAGATTACCTTGGGGTATCCTGGTGGCTCAGTTGGCTGAGCACACGCCACTTAACCACAATGCCCTTGGTTCAAGTCCAGCCACCACATGCTGCCTTCCTAATCCATTCTCCTGTGTCCCTCCACCATAAGTCATCCAACAAAGCAGAATTGCCATAAAAATCCTAGAAAATTATCCTTTTTTATAAAGTCAACCATTGAATGAATACCACTTTTTGGTATCATGATGAATTAAAATCTATTTGTAGCTCTTAATTAAAACAATAGTGGAGGTAGGCCAAACAGCGCACGGCATAAAGTAGTCTGAAAGCCCCTATTACATAATTATATGCTGTAACATCTTAATAGCTACCACATTATCTGCTGTTCTGTTGTTCTGCGTTACCCCAGCCTCCAGTTGTGGATCAGTTTTAAATGGATAATCCATCCAGAGTGTATCCATTATTGGTGTTGTCAGCAGTTTTGTGCAGGTCAGACAATTCACAGAAATGAAGCTCCCTGTTTTTTTCACCCTGTCAGTGGGAAATATGTTTCTGATGTTGCTTTCATAGGAATAAATTGGTGTAGGAAATTATCTCTGTGGTATTTTACGAGGCCTTTTCCAAGAAATGCATCCATGAATCTCGTTGTCTCATTGAATCCTGGCTTGTACAGTGTGCTACCCTTGTGTTATTTTCTTTCTTTTGAAATACCCACAGTAAGGACTCCCCCCTGCTAACCCAGGTTAAAGCCCTTTTGACCTCAGGTTTCTGCTCTGCTGACATGCATTTGAGCTGTGCACAGAATACTTTTGGTGCTGTTTCTTAACTTTGACCTTTTGTATCGCAGTTGGCATAGACAAGAAGTAATTTCTCTCTGTGGATATAATACAGCATCTGAAGTGGTGAAAGGATCTTACATTGTGGGTCAATCAAAATATCAACGTAGATAACTGAATCAAGGTGAAGGACACTGAGTAGATCATTACATGATACTGGGAAGACAGACATCACCTTCGATAGTAGTTGCCTAGCTATTCCTGGAAGTCAGTTCCCATAAGAGCCTGGTTTTGATATTTCCTAAATGCTCTCCTGTCCTACCTCCAGTCAAAACTTCATTTAGAGCTCAAGTAATAAGTTACCTGTGACTGACCACTTGGGATCAACTCTTAATAATTGATACTAGTTTTAATCCAGTAGGACTGACAGAAACAAAAGAGCCGTTTTTTAATAAAGTGCTTGGAAACACCGGGATACTTATGAGATATTGTACAAGATGTAGACAAGCACTCGGAAATGATTATTATTTTTGTGCTTGTTCCACTGTGACAAATACAAAAAGGAAGAAAAACCGAATATTAAACACGTACACAAAGGAAAATCCTTTATTTGATAAGAGTCTCAAGGTGGCTGCCGCAGGGTCTTCTCTCTCTCTCATCCATTCTGCCGATTCCGCACTTTTTTTCTCTACTAATGAATGCTTTGTTCCTCTCTAGTCCTTCGATAAATTCTCAAACTGCTTATTCATACAATTTTTCTATTTTTTGGTATCTTATCTTGTGGTCATCCACAGTGGTGTAATGTTGTGGACCTTCTTACCAAACAAGCAAAATAAATATAACGACTGTTCCATCACATACTATAATAACTGGATGAATGAATGCCCAGTTTTGGAGAACAAATACTTATGATGCAGTGTGTCCTTTGCTCATCCACACTGAATTAAAACGCTGGCATTCTGAAAGGGTGCGAGACGACCCATCTTTGGGAGTACATGCCTGCATGGCCCAGAATCTCTCTCTCTGCACCTTTCGCTGTGTCCCTTTTTTTTTTTTTTTTTTTTTTTAATTCCTCCCCCCCCGGCTCACATTTAGCCGGAGTTCTTGTCAGTATTTCCTGTGGCCCCAGAGTGAACGAGTGCGTCACAATTCTAAACTCTGACGCAGCTCCTGTCAGAGAAGCTTTGGCAGCTTCCTCGGTACAAGGATGTTGTCTCCCAAGTGGACGGCGCTACTGGGCCCTGCCCGACACGGGACTAGTTGCAGTCACAACCTCTGTTGTCTGATTGGACTGAACTTGATCATGTCTTATTTAGATGTCTCAACCTGGCATTGATAGGATGTTGAAGAAATGTTGTTAATCATTTTCAAATTTTGGATGGAATGAAAGATTTGTAACGCAGAACCAAACATTTCTTCTTCTCTGTTCTGAACACGTTGTCACCTGTTTTTGATTTTTTTTTTTTTGAGTGCACATTAAAGTTTTGGTAGATTTTTGGTCTAAATGACAAATAAACCAGTTCTCACATGGCTGTCCATATGGCCTAATATCTCACTCTAAATAGGCTGACTGAATGTGTTAGTCTGTCTGTCCTATTGGAAAACCCACAGCATTGGTTGGCAGGTCTATCCGTCTCTTTGTCTGTTCTTGGAAAGTCCACCATATTACACTGGTGGGTCTATCTGTAGGCTTGTCTGCTTGGCAGGTCTGCTGTATTAGCAGGTGGATCTGGCTGTCTTTCTGTCTGCTTGGCAGGTCCATCACACTGGCTTTGGTAGCTTTGGCTGTCTGTATAAACCGACATATTGCCTGCAACTTTGTTTTTAGTGTTCTGTTTTGTGGAGGATGATAGTTTGGCGAGCAGTCAGAGGATTCGGTTGTTGCGTGTGTGTGTGTGTGTGTGTGTGTGTGTGTGAGTTCGTTTGTGCGCCTGACAAGATACCAAATGCTCTGGCAACATGCTAATTGATATATTAGAATAATATAAACTGATATTAGAACCACCTGATGGTTGGTCTCTCAGGGGTTACTATGAGGAAGAGAACAATGGGATGAAATTTTTACCTCTTCCCTTAATTTTCCTCCAAATGGAAAAATGAAATTTAAATTTTGTAGAGCAGAGATTGAAGGGGGCGAAAAGAGAAAGTGAACAGGCTTCAAATTAATGCAGCACAGATTTCTTTTGTCTAGGGTGCTAATGTTTTCCTTTTATAGCTGTGGTAATATTAGAGTGGCTGGGCTGGCTATGTGGGCTTTTTCAGGAGGCAAATGGGAAGACTACACCCCGTTTGGGATATCAGATTGTAGCTCTCGAAAATGTTCCTATTTCATACATTTATATTACTCATAGTACATAGACTGGAGCGGAGCATCAAATCCATTTTTAGATGAACTAATAGGAAAGAGTTATTTCCCCTGGCACAAAGCAGAGCAAAGGGCATGCTTATATCCTTGGAGGGTGTTTAATTTCAGGAGGCACAGGTAAAGTTTATGTCAACTTATCCCAAATCAGCTTCTGCCTTACCTCAGCTTAACAGCTGTTCAGCTCCTCTATCATCTGCAACCCCTCCGGTGGCCTCGAAGTGATTGGAAATTTTTAAAAGTGCAAGATTGACAGCAGAGCAGTTCTATTCCAAAGCAAGACAACTGTGAACTCAAAAGTGTCATCAAATTGTACAAATTGATGTCTGGCATGAAGGAAAACTAACTGAGCAATACAGGAAACTATTCACAGATATCAAGAGAAGCTTCCAGCCTGCTTATTACAGATATGCGGTGTATGTCCATGGAGGGTTCAATCCCATCAAGAACATTTCTAAGGAGAAAAACACTGACTGGCAAATCCTGCCGAGGCTCAAACCTGTTGCTGTAGCAGCTCCATTTTCAGGCCTGGTAATCCTTTTCCTGTGACTGACCCCACGGGATGGAACTAAAGCCCAAGTACACAACTGTAAGCAAGATTGACAGTAACCATATGTCCTTTTTTATAACTTATATTAGGTGCTTGTTTCTTCCATTAGTATTATTTTTAATACCGAGTAGTCAGTCTGTCTGCTGGTCAGTTGGATGGTCCACCACTTTGGCCCGGACTGAATTATCTTAACAACTATTGGATGGATTGCCATGTGATCTGGTACCAATATCGATAATGCCCTCATGAGGGTTTGAGTGAAATGGATTGACATGAAATTTAGTATACACATTCATGTTCCCCTCAGGATGAATTGGAACAACTCTGGTGATCTCATAACTTTCTTTCTTGTGTCATCATCAGGTCAAAATTTCTATTTGTCCCGTCTTTTGGTTTAGCTGTACTTTGAGTTTAATGCTAATTAGAAAAAATGTTAGCATGCTAATATACTTCTTTGTTCATTATACTTATACTTAGCATTGGCATGCCATTGTGAGTATGCTGGCGTCATTTAGCTCAAAGTGCCGCTGTTTTTTTGCTTCTTTTTTGCAGTTAAGATATGAAGTTTCATCCCAGCAAGCTACAGGACACGCCGTCTACTATGTGAACCGCTTTCGATTGCTGGAGGAGAGAAACCAAGCCCTGAAGATTGAGGTAGCTACGCTTCGCCAAGAGAAACAACAGTATAGGAAACTGGTAAACATCCCACTCTCACCACCGCAGTTTTGTCTTTTTACTCTCATATACGTAGATAATCTATGTCTTTCAACTGTTCACACACTCATTATTTGACAGGTTTTTGTGCCTGCAAAATACCTCTCGTCTGGAAATTGAAACGGTTACGGTGTTATTACTGTGGTGCTTACTTACTGTATGTGGAGAGTGTGCATACACCATATTGTAGTGCCTGTTGCAGCTTTTATTCTTCAAAGACGCAGCTGTGTATAGTTGGTGACTCGCATGGCCCTGTGCACATATATATTCCCTGAGTTTGGTCTTGGTTATGCAGACATGTGGGCATGTGTAATGTGGTGTAAAATAGATAAGGAGGGGCGTGTGGTTTGGGGTGTATTGTACATGGGAGTGTGCGTGTGTGCGGCCATGTATATTTTTGTTTGCACTGTATGTTCATGCATGCATTTGTGCATTTAGTGAATTTGTCCTCCCCCAGGTGGTCTCAGATGACAAGGTGTGTGAGCCGTTGTCTTGGCAACACGCCCATTTGCAGGAGTGTGGACAGACTGTCAGAGGGGAACTGACAGTGCATAATGGCTGCTTCTGTTATAAGCCTCGATAACTTGAAATTAGTTTCAGTAAAATGGAGCTAAACCTGCATGCTACAGTCTGCATTTACAAACGTTTTATTGGCAATGGTTCAATTCAGTGGAGCTCTCAGGCTAAAATAGTTTGTCACACCACTCATTTGGTTTGTGATTGAGAGCATTGTCGACTTCTTCTCATTGATGTGGCATAGAAGCATACATGAGTTCATATTTGAAAAACGTGTAAACAGAATCCCAAATAATTTGCTAGTCTCCCATTTGTTGCCTCTATATTTGAAAACTAGATACAGTTCAAATATAGAATTTCCCATCTCTCTTTCTCCCACTGAGAAGAACCATCATGAGTAAAACTTTCACAGAAACCACTGGACATTCTCCTCTCACTTTATGAGCTTATAAATAACACAGCACAATGTTAACTTGTTTGCATTTTCCTTGTTTTATCTCAACATCATAGCACCTTTCTTTTCGAATGGTGAAATCTATGGCAACCTGCCTAATGGGAGATTTTGTCCAGCTCACAGCCAAAACCTTGGCACAAACCTTGCCCTGGTGTCTATCATTATAGCTAACATGCAGTAGTCAGCAACATAACTTAATAATATAATTTAATAATTTATCATTTTATCTAATTACGTGTGTGTGTGTGTGTGTGTGTGTGTGTGTGTGTGTGTGTGTGTGTCTGTGTGTGTGTGTCTGTGTGAGTGTTCATGTGTTTTTATATACAGATACTATTGGAGGTAGTCCAGCTGGGTGCATGGCAGTCTTTCTGCTGTCACTGCTGACAGCTACACTATCACAGACTGCATCATGGTCATTCATGCAAAGACAGACTCAGCTATGGATCAGTCAGACTAGGAGAAGCTCAGTCATGAGAGTGGGTTCACTCTTGCATATTTGCTCATGCAGATATACTGTGGGCTTACTGAGGGTATTGAAAGTATAAACAAGATGGTGGAGTGTCACATCCATCCATTTTTATTTTACAACTAAATTAATTGTTTTTCTTTCTTTCTTTTTTTTATTAGGTTAAGGAAATATGGCCAAATATATTTAAATTTAAATTATCAAATTTACAGCTGGACTAAATGTAGAGGGTGGTGGTCAAAGGGTCATTAGATTGAAGATATAAGATTAAGAAATATTCTGGTACAAAACACACACACACACACACACACACACACACACACACACACACACACACACACACACTCCAGATGGCTGATTAGCCAGTTAGCTAGTATGGTCTAAATAAATGGCCTCACCAACAAAGGCCCCTTTCCTGGCTTTCAAGGTTCGTTAAGTCAACTCTATTCTACGTTTTTACTGCATAATGTATTGTTGTTATGTATACAGTTTTCGCTGTAAAACAAATCAAATATTCACATATTAGCAGCATGACATGGTGTGCTTTTCTATCTCCATTGCACAAGGTGATATTGGGTGCAGGAAATTAAGTTATTTCTGAATGCATCTAAATGTAGTAACAACCATATGCCTATAGTTATTGTAATATAGTAACACTATAATATGGTTTTTGCTGCTGCCAGTGTAATTGGGTATGGCACATTCTGGTTAAGTGTACGTTGTTTTCATCCTAAATAGTTGCTTCAAATCCAGTGTGGTATCAGCAGCCTGGGCATCTGATGCATCTGATCACCCTTAGTTTGGTGAACAGTTTTCGTGCCCATTTTGTGCAATAGTGTTGAGTCAAGGGGCTAATTAAGGGGCTAGACTAAGTGCGACTATGGATTGTCATCTTTGGGGAATCAGTGACCACACCCAGATCATTGAAACTCTATGCTGTGTCAGATAAGGTCAGGCTGTCAGCCTAATGCCTAAAATCCACCACCCTGCACTGTTGCATTTAATCCCTGTTGTATCTTTGAGAATGAGTTTCATGGGGCACTTTAGCTAGATTCTCGTCTCTCTGTCTGTCCTTCCAGTTCATTTGTTCTTTTGCTACCTAAATGGCAAGAAAAAATACTCAGAAGGTGGACTGCTTCCTAGGAGAAAAACAAAACAAAACAAAAAGCTTTAGACCGGTTGCCAGGAAACAATCTGTGATGGACAGTCGGAGAAAGGTACCTTAGGTGAGGAATGACCTTCTGTGTGCTGTGTGGCTGCTGCTAAAAGGCCACAGCTGTCTCCCTGGACACCATCCCTATGGCAACGATTGTGTACTGCTAGCAGCTGGCCCACTCAGATGATAGTCTGATGATGATATGGGCTGTCCCAGTGTAAACAGGGACAACGTCTTATCAATAAACCCTAATAGCCATATTATCTCAGCTGACCTAGTAATCTCCATTTTAACTCCCTCTAATCAAAGATGCACAGACAAACCGGAGTTAATAGCAGTCCAGTGTAATGTAACAGCTGGAATAATATAGCTACCACCCACAGGATATTCAGAAAATTCACACTGTTTTGACTCACAAGGCTGTTTAACACTGATGTTAGACAGGGTGTGTTTAGGCTGAAGTTTCTATTCTTTTCTTAATTGAATTTATCTCAGACAGTGTGCTTTCAGATGGCTCAAGTTGTCTCTATATAACTACATTACCCTCTTTTACCCAGTCCATTTCCCATTCCATTTCTTGTCTTGTTTCTTAAGTAAACACTACTGAGAGAGCAGCAAAGCAAAGCTTTACCCTTTAGAAGAAATGGTCAGAAAAGAGGGATTTTTTTCTTACTCTACCACTTACTGTGCATAACATGAACAAAATGGATTAATGCTCTTGCATGTTGCATTCTCTGCTACAACGTCACAGTCTGTCATGTTAAAAAATCTAACACAGAATTTTCCCTTTAAAATTCTTTTAATGTGTGGATCTAATTAGTATAATAGAGACATAATAGAGGCACAGGTCTTTCCATTGTAATTATTAGACCAAAAATGTAATTTCCAATAAGTAGTTTGTTACGGTGGCCCTGAGAGCTCAATGTACTGCAACTTAAAACACATGCAAATAGACACAACACAAGCAAATTAGGAAAACATCCTCAATTTGACAACACTTGCACAGCCTTTAGGAAAAAAAGCTGCAAAGTGAGAAAATACAACCAAATAGAAAACACTACAAGTGGCACAGTTATGGCAGACAACAAAAAACATTTCCAGGGGACACTAAAAAGCGATGAACACAACTGAGACATGCATGTTATTGAAGTTGGCTAAGTGGGGCTGAGCTAAAATATGTTTTTGGTGGCACAAGTGTGTCCCCAGCCGTGGCCGTTTTTTTCTTAATGCTATGCGTGTGTTGTCAAACCTGTGAAGATGTTTTCTTAATTTGTCTATTTGCATGTGTTGCAGTACAATGAGCTCTCACGGCCACCGTAATTTGTCTGGAAATGTATCTTTTGTACCGTTTTTCAATTAAAAACACACACACACACACAGCCTTGAAAACATACAAGCACATTAGCTAGCCAACAGTAGCGCTCGCTCGTCTACCTTCGCCTTTCAAGTTGTAGTCTGTTGAGTCTTCCATCACCAAGCCTCTTTCTTGTTTTCTCTTTGCTCTTTTTCTGCCCTCACGTCTCATTTGTTCTCTCATTCTTCCATAAATCACTAGTCTTTCCCTTCTCTCCACTCTGCTTATGTATTTGTCCTCTCTTCTTTCTCCATCCGTCTTCTCTGTCCCCTCCTATTTCCTGTCCTAACCTCCTTAGTGCCCGCATCCAGGCAGAAGGGTTTACTGAGGCCACTGGTCTGGCCTGTGCAGCTTCATACAGTAATTTAAGCAGATCTGATGTATATCAGGGAGGGCCATGCCAGCCCATAATTACATTTCAGACATTTTCAGAGAGTTCATTGCAGACATACATTTTGAACTGAGTTATACTTTCTTCCTGGTAGTGAGTGGGTCATATTAAAATGATAACACCAATGTCTTCTAAGTTTTCCTGATGATTATTATTACATAGGAAACATCTAAACCCACAGCCACAATCACAAGCTACTACTGTTTGACTCTAGTTTCCTTATTGATCCTGAAAGGCCTAGACATGTTTTTAAAAAATGTCAATACAAACTGTGTTTTATGGAGAATAGTTTCACCTCTACCATAACTTTACACTTAACTTTCAATACCCAGCAGATAGAACTACTCATTGTAACCTTTCTAAGTCGGTATACATAGATTTAAAATCAGTCATAATCAGCATAACCCGTTTCCCGGGCAACTACTGCTTTTATCCTTCTTTGAGTTGGAGTTGGCTATAGAAATAGCAGGGGAAAAAAAAACTGTGAATACTGGTAGAATTGGAATACAGAGACAGACAGTTACGTAAATGTCCGGCATTGGCTTGATTCCAGAGCATATTCTGACAGTGTCCGAAACAAATTTGCGGTCCATCTTGTGGGAGTACTGAATCATATTAGCCTTAAAAGTGTGTGCATGTGTGTGT